TTTTTTTTTTTTTTGGGGGGGGGGGGGTTACCAATAACTTTCAGTTGAAGTATTTCTATATTTTTAATTAAACCTCATTTGTGCTGGTGTTTGAGTTGTGCTAAGGCAGGTGCGGGCAATTATTTTGACTGGAGAGCTGCTTAATGAGTTTTGGTCAGCTGTCAAGGTTTGTGAGGGTAGCCCTGCCCCTTGGTTGCTATCTGGGGACCAGAAGTCCTGCCCTAACCCCACACCTTTGCCACTGGAAGTCCCTTCCCTTACCCCTTTTGGGAGGTGGGGTTGCTATCTTGGAACCAGAAATAAAACAAATCTATACTAAGTGAAATATTTACCATAACTTATTTTAATTTTATTTTTTTTAAAAAGTCCCGATTTATTTGTGTTTGCGTAGTATAGGTAGAGATGATTGTATGATGGCTCAAAAATAAAGTCTTGCTTTTGTATATAGTGTGTGTGGTGTGGTTTGTGGCGGGGAGTAAGTGTGTATGGTGTGAGGGGTGTATGTATTTTGTAGGGGGGTATTGGGTATGTTGCGGTTTGTGTGAGTCTCGGGGAGCCCCATGTGATGAGAGATGGGCCAGCCTGCCTCTGCTCCTTGCTGTCACATGCAGCTCCCTGAACTGGCCGGAGCTTCATGCTGCTGGGTGGCTGCACCTGCATGTATCATGAGCAACCCAAGGGCCCACTGGCTGCAGCTGCTGCCATCAGCAGCATGGGCTGTGCACCATGGAGGAGAGGTCCCCACACCCTCCCCTCCCCACCTTTCCTCACATTCCACATACACTCATACCCTGCCCACCCAAGCTCTCCACTCCCACCAGCCCCATAATCCATATGCCCGCCCAACTGCAGCTTCTCCTGCCCGCTGCTGCTTCCCTACCTGCTGCAGCAGGGATAGGAGTTGTCATCGCTGGAGTTCAGGGAAGCCAAGCAGGCCCCTGGTGCCTGCAGCAGTAATGGGAGCGGCCCTACCTGGAAACTGTGCTGTAGGTCGGGGGCTCTCCCGTGAATGAAGATTGGAGCAAGGTGGGCGGGCAAGGGGTGGTACAATTAGTGGGTACCCACAGGCTGGACGAAATTGCCTGATGGGCTGGATCCTTCCCATGGGCTGTATTTTGCCTGCCCCTGTGCTAAGGTAACCCATGTGCTAATCATGCACCCTTAATTACAGATCAACTATTAATGAAAGGAAACGTAAGAAAACTTCAAATCAAAAAGCAAAAGAAGAATATGAGAAAGTAAAGACTGAACGTGCTAAGAAGAAAGAGGTAAATCATGAACTAAGATCTCGGGAACTGTTCAGATTGAAGGGAGGGGGGGATGGTAATGGTGTCACTCTGTCAGTCTTGTCTGCTTGACATCATGTTAACCTGCATTTCTGAGTAGCATTTAACATTATATCATTATTCGGTATTGTGTGACATGGCGTTTCTTAGGTTTAGGTTCTCCATTACTTTATTAAAACCGAATAGGCTCATCATGCTATATTCACACTTGACAAGACTCGGATAACTCCCTTTGCTGTTTGGCTTGATTGCCCTACTAGGCTATGCTATATTCTTGGGATACGAGTCCCTCTTAATTAAGAGGAAGAAACAGTAATATTGCGCAAGTACTATCTACTTCTGTTAATTTAAATGTTTCTCAATGTATATCCAGCAGGTTGTTGTTGTTTTTTTTTTTTATACTCGGTTCTCTTTTTTTACTTACATACTCAGTTAGTAGACAGTGTTAGCGCTTGAGACTGGAATTCTTAAAGTGGCTCACTTTGACAAGTTGACACTTCAGGCCTTATTTGTTGAAGATCCTGGTTATTTCTGTCATTATTGAATATCTCAGTTAATGAATTATGAGATTAGTAGAGCAGTTTACTCCTTAGAGCTTTTGCTCCAAGCTCTCTGCAGCTCTGACAGCTGTTGCTGTTGTGTTATGTTTAATCTATGTCCTGAAGTACTTTTCTTTGAACAATAAAGGCTAAGATGAATCATAAAGTGAAAGCTGAGATTCTGGAGCACAAAATGGCTACCCTTGTAAGAATTTTATGACTGGCTGGTGAAAGCAGCCTGGAGTTATGTAACTATTACAAAAATACTAAAATATGCACAGTCATTTTATTGGTGGGATACAGACACAATCAGAAGTATTATTTGCACTGTTTATTAAAGGAAGAGAAATCAAAACATGTTGCAGAGCTCAATTAATTTAGCTTTTCCATATATTGTGGGTGTCAAAAAGTAAGTTTCAGTAGAGGTTACAATATTTTCAGATCTATAAAACAATAGAACATGTTTGTCTTGAACACTAAATTTACTCTTGGCTCTTTGCTTTCCCCTTCTCTTTTTCTTCTACTTGTAATGAATCAGAAAATAAATGAGGGCATGTTCTCATTCTGTTTGATCAAAACAGAATGTCCTGGCCTAATCCCCACTCCGTTTGCTAGTAGGCTGGACTTCCAGGGTTTGGGTTTCTCCAGCATCTCAGTTGAAACCTATTGTTGCTTTGCAGCTGAGCTACGAGCTTCAGTTTCTAAACAGATGAAATACTCTTGCAAAGTAAGCAACTGTCTGGCCCCGGGCAGGCATTGCCTTTATAGCTCAATTCATGTGTTAATATGCCACGTGGCCAGCAGATTTATGAAGCCATAAAATTCTATGTATGTTATACAATATAAAGGATCTTTGTAGCTGGTTTGTATAGTGTCTTAACTTGAACATGTAGCATGGTCCTTCCCCATACTGACAATCAGCTGACTTAGTATCCAGTAGGCCTGTGTGAAGCAGCAAATATTCGCTTCGGATTTGTCTGATTTCAGAGGGACAGTGATTCGATTCGGTCATGCCCACATCCTGCACCCCTCCGCCCCAGCTGGGCAAGCAGCACCAGCACCTGCATCATGTGCCCAGCTGGGCAAGTGGCAAGCTATGCCCTGCTGCCACTTTGTGACTTGCCCTGCTGGGGTGGGGTGGGGAGGTACAGGATGAGGGCACAGCAGTGCTGGGAGCAGGGGCTATGCCCTGCTGCCACTTTGTGATTTGCCCTGCTGGGGTGGGGTGGGGAGGTACAGGATGAGGGCACAGCAGTGCTGGGAGCAGGGGCTATGCCCTGCTGCCACTTGCCCCCTTCTGCCCAGAGTGAGTTGCACCTGCATTGCAGCCTCCCCTCTTCCCTGCCCCAGCTGGGCAAGCGGCAACAGGGCATAGCCCCCACTCCCAGTGCTGTCGCACCCATGTCCTACACCCCAGCTGGGCAGCCTGTTCCAGCCCCATTCCCTTCCTCGCTGTGGGGGCATTGATCTGCCCCTCCATGCCCCTTCCCTCCCTGTTCCACCCACCACAACAGACTTAACAGCTGGAGAAAGCTGTATCCAGCATGGTGAGGACTACTGCCTGTTTAGTCTATGGCTGAATCTCCAAAGTGGCTCAGAGTCTTTTCCGAATTGATTTAGAGGCTTCCAATTCAATTCATACCTTTTAATTGGTCTCCCAGTTCAATTCGGATGCCAAATCACGTTGAATCTCCTCCAAATTGAATTGGCTACTGAAGCTTCACACAGCCCTAGTATCTAGAGCAGGGCAGCCCTGGCACAGTTGGAGACTCAAGGCTATTCTGGTCCCCATGTTGAAAAATAACTGATATGTCAGTATGGGTAATGGGACACCCCAGAACCTCCAACCAGTACTGCCCAGGGGTGAGCATTTGCTAGACTGAGAAACCAGTTAGCTCCTCCCCCCACAAGTTGTTTCAGGCTGGCCAACCTGCATCCAGGGTTGTAGGGCTGCTAACGCATGGCTTTGAACTTGTGGAGCAGGGAGGTACAATTGGCTCCCTCCCCACCTGGCACTTGCAAAGGTATGTAACAGCAGCCCTGTGCAGGACTGCACCATGCACTCCTTTCAGTTTGCACACGTAGCGGGGTTCTAGATCCTGATAAGAGCGTGATTTGAATCTAGTCCCAACATTGTGCATCCGCCCTTCACGTATACATCATAGCAGGAGATGTGATTGTTGGGACTGGGGATGAGATACCAGCGCAGCATTAAATTAACATCTGCCAGGTGCCTTGGAATGCATTTGAGTCTGGAGTCCTGTGCATGTGAACCTATGCTGAGCACGACAGCACCATAAAACAGCAGCACCTATGTGGAAATGTGTACTTTGGTTTTGCATTTGCATTTGCATTTGCATGGCTTTGGCACAGGGCCATCTCAAAGGGTCTGAGATAGCATTTTTACACATGCTTCCAACGCAACGCTGGGCACTTTTAATTGGCAATCCATGCTAATTAAAGTGCTTGGCACTGCATTGGGTACAGGTATGTAAGTGGCATAGTGCATGTCAGTGCTGAGAAAATGGCGGCAGTACACTTTGAACTAAAGCATGTCAAATGTGTTTTACTTCAAAGCGCACCGCCCACCATTTTCTCTGTACCAACACATGCTTCACTGTTTACATACCTGCACCCAATCCAGCAATGTGTGCATCAGTTACATGCTCCAGCAGACTCTGTTTCCAGCATGTTGGGGCAGACTTTCCACATGTGCGCAAGTGCCCAGGATTACTGGGACGTATCTCAGGGTTCTAAGTGACTCCATTTGAAATGCTTTAGGAATTGGTCTGTGGTTTATTTCTGAAGACTTTATTTTACCCCTGCTGAGTTTCTTTATAGAAATTTTCTGAGTTGCCAGCTTATTTGGCTGAGGTGCTTGAAAGCCTGCAGACTTCTCACCTGTCTGTTCTTTCTGGTGCTAAACAGTGATGTCAAGCACTGCTGGATAAGCTGGTTCTGCTTACAGCTAAGATATTATTGCAGCAGGTCAGGGTCTGAGACAGCATTCTTGCATACAAAAGGCAGTAACAGATCATGGAGGGACATTCATCTGTGACAGAATGTTGGCACCTGTTGCATGCTGCAGTTACTTCAGATTTTCCTTATGCAGACTAGCATTTGTGGGAGCGTAGTGTTATTCATATGTAGCTTGCTAAACTACATGGAGCTCTTGGAGAAAGTCGCCCCAGTACTCCAGGGGGAAATGGTCTTGAGATGCAGCTGGTTTGCAGGCCTAGTAGAGGTGATTTTTTTTTTAAATGAGATTTGATTGTTACTGGGGTTGGGTCTTGGTGAGCAGAGGAACAGAACTGGAGGCATATCTATAGCATAGAAACCTGGAAATCAGGGATGTCTAGTGCACTTCTGCTCTTGCAGTACAATTTTAATATGGATGAGGAAATGGAGTGCTCTGTAATGAGGTGTGTGTGTGTGTTATTTATGGTAAAAGCATTGATATTTACTAAAAGATTTGGGTGCAGTGCCCTTTTTTCTTCTCTTTTAAACCAATATGCCAGGGTATTGTACAACTAAATATATTAATGAAAACAAAAGTGTAAAAGTAAGTAAATATATGCCAAGGATTAGTGCCAGGTGTCCAACTACCTGGTCACAAATAACAATTTAAAAAAATTGTAGATCTTAGTGTCATGAGCATGCTAATGGCACCTCCTTATTAACCATTGGCTACACATACATTGAATGGGAGGGGTGATGAGAAGGAGCCCTGGGAGACCCCACAGGAGACAGGTCCTAAGGGAATGATGTGCACTTACCCCATTGCTACCTTCTAGGAGAAGAGTGGCAAAATACAGCCCATAGGCTGAATCCTGCAGACCAAGGCAATTTGTCTGGCCTGCAGTGGGTCCCTTGGCCCCACCTGGTCTTCAGACAAGGGGCAGCCCAAGCTGTGGTGCATGGAGTTGGTCCTGCTGCTACTGGACACACAGTAGAGCTGGAACAGCATGGCACCTGAACTGTTTCCCAGTAGCTCCAGCGGTGGCTTCTTCCAGCTACTGCTGCCAGACCCAACCCCGCTGCCCAGGCATCCCAGCCTATCTGCCAGAAGCAGGACCTGTGTGGGCAGGGCACATGGCCAGGCATCTGAGATAGAGCTGCATCCAGAAGCAGGATAGGCAGATAGGGTTGGGGCATTGGGGTCAATCACGGGGCAGTGACAGTACAGGGCTGGAGTCTGAGCACAGCTGTGATCATCTGCCCACACAGCCTTGTGACAGGCACTGTGGTTCCATGGGCACGGGCATGCAGGGAGCAGATCGTGGCTCTGTCACTGCCCAAAGATCTCAGACCTGCCTACCCACCCTGCTCCCGGATGCAGCTCCCTGCCCACCTGTGGCCCAATCCCATCTGCCTGCCTGTGCACCCTGCCTGCGTAGGTCCTGGTTGGTCTCCATAGAGAACCTGGGATTGTGGGGCTGTGACTGTACAGGGCTAGGGCCTGGGCCAGGGTCATGATTAGCACCCTGCACACCTCTGCTTGTGGAACCAGCACCTGTCACAGGGCCGTGTGAGCAATGAATTGCAGCCCTGGGCTGTCATCACCCCGTGAGCCTGATCCCAGCCTTGGCCTTGCCCATCCTGCTCCCAGATGCCACTCTGCTGCCCACCCACGATCCCATTCCATTCTCCCAGCCAAGCACAGGGCCCTCCTAGGTAGCTTTGAGCTGTGTTGGGAGGGGCAGAGATGCTGACCTGGCCTGCAACAGCTCACTAAAACCTTGTAAGTGGCCCTCCGTCCCAAATAATTGTCCACCACTTTTCTAGGGCTTCTCTGCTTGAAAAGAACAGAATCAATTTAAACCAGTCTCTTGAAAACCTGCCAGGACATGCAGACACTTTACAAGCACGTCATGGTCAGCTGTATGAAAGGCTGCTGTATGGTCAGCTGTATGGATTGTATGAGAAGTGGGTGGCCAAAAGAGTTGTGCTTTTCTGGTCAGTACCACTAGTTTCCATCAGTTTTTACAATGGTAATGGTTTTTGTGTTTTGGGTTTTTTTTTTTTAAATAAAGTAAACAGGTGTGGGAACAGAGAATTTAGTCTTTACTTTTAGTTGGTCTTTTCAGCAGCTTTTGAGATTTTTATTTAGAAATGCTTGCTTGGGTTATTCAGACTTAACTCTTTTTATACATCACAAAACACTATTGTTGCTAAATTAAGAAATATAATTTCCGTTGCAGAAAATGATTTTTAATGTGCGTGTTTTGTTTGTACAAAACAGTCTAAAACCTATTTGTGCAATGAAAAGTATGTAATGCTTATTTGATAAATTAGCATCTCTTTATATGCATGCTGCTGTAAAGACATCTGTTTCTGTGGCCTTTACAATGTTTCATTTCTGAGAAATTCTATCAGAGCCAACCATCCAAATAAAGTGAAGCATGTTTTTAGTCTGATTAGAGACAGCTTCACATATTTTGATGAGACATGATTTAAGTGAAACAATCTAGTTGGCATGCTTATCAAAATGTAATTTGCTTCAATAATTGATTCAGTGTAAAACAAAATATCTGTATTGGCACCTAATTTAGGGCTAGGACCTGAATAAGACTGTGATACTTTATAAAGATTTTTGTGTATTGCTGTTTTGTATTTTTGAATGCCTTCCAGGACTGTATTAAACAACATGACTAACATCTGTCACATGTCATGTGTTTTCTCATCCTTTTCACAGGGGGAAGAAGTGTGAACAGGAGTGACTCATTTACTAGGGCTTGGTTTTTTTCTCCTTTGTGTAGTTTTGGTTAATATTCATGTTGCTCTGTGTATGCTAGGCAAAATAGGTTAAAGAAGTGTGCTTTCCACTTGAAACAGGTGGTAAAAATGATTCTGGTAGTACTTTTGGGAAATTCATTTTATGATTTTGGGCTAACCTGAAGAATGTTGCATCTCATTTTACGATTTTGGGCTAACCTGAAGAAAGTTGCATCTCCTGCACAAATATACTTAACCTTTACTATGGCAAGTTTTAAGGCAAGAACAGAAGTTCTGTTATGGCTTTTGTTCTGGAATTTTAGGCAAACATCATTTGATATATAAGAGTTGTATATATCGGTGGTTGTGGCCCTAACAAGACAATAACTGATGTTTATGGACATGTTTGCATCTTGTAAAAATCACTGTTGAGGTACAGAGTGATTATATTTACTCTGGTTTAATCACAGCACTTACATTTTGGCTATTTTTATTTCAGGCAGCAGAGAAAAGGAAACAAGAAAGAGAAGAAGCCCAAAGGCTCTATAAACAGAAGAAAATGGAAGCTTATAAAATACTAAGGAAAAGGAC